ACAGTCACATCTCTTAGATCTTCTTCGCTTCTCTACAGAAACCATCTCCGTTTCTCTCTCTCCTCCACGCGTCGATTCAGAAACTTGAACAAGAGTAAGAAGAATCGTGGCCTCGTCGTTGCTCAGAACGGCACCGTATCGACAAATCTTGCGACGGAGGATGATGATGATTCCGGTGTCGATGTTATCATTGTCGGAGCTGGTGTTGCCGGTGCCGCACTTGCTCATACTCTCGCCAAGGTTAGTCTCCAAATCAATTTCAACTTTTTTGTCGATTTTTGATTTTGGCTTCCTCCAAATTCGTGTTCTTCTGAGTTTTTACTTCCATTTCTGGAAATTTTCTACAACGCCTTTGCTTTTCCAAAATATACAATTCACGATTTGTTAAATATCTGATTGTTTAGCTTATGTTATTCATGAGAAATTTTTAAGAAAATATTGGTTTAATAATTTTTTTTTAATTCATATCATTAAAAAGGTGTGATATGCTTGTTTCTTGGTCACTGGCTCCAAATGTGTGTTCTTCTACGGTTGAAGAAAGCTCAGATTTTGTTTTCTCTTTGTGTGATTGTGATTCCAGCAAGGACGAAGAGTTCATGTTATAGAGAGAGACTTGTTTGAGCAAGACAGAATCGTTGGTGAATTGCTTCAACCTGGTGGTTACTTGAAGCTAATCGAACTTGGCCTTCAAGGTAGACCATTGAGCTTCACTATTATAACTCTTAGGTACTTTATGTTAATGCTTTAGCTGTGTTTGAGTGTAGATTGTGTGAAGGAGATAGATGCTCAGCGAGTTCTTGGTTATGCTCTCTTCAAAGATGGGAAACATACTAAACTTTCTTACCCTTTGGAAACATTTGATTCGGATGTAGCCGGAAGAAGCTTCCACAATGGCAGATTTGTGCAGAGAATGCGAGAAAAAGCCGCTTCTCTTTCAAAGTAATCATCTTTTTGTTTATTCTCTTATACTCGAATCTATTGCTTACTCTAATGCTTTGTTTGTGGTTTCAGTGTAAGGTTAGAGCAAGGAACAGTCACGTCTTTGCTTGAAGAAAACGGGATGATAAAAGGTGTTCAATACAGAACAAAACAGGGCAATGAGCTTGTTAGATTACATGCTCCTCTCACAGTTGTATGTGATGGTTGCTTCTCAAACTTGCGTCGCTCTCTCTGCAAACCTAAGGTGGTCACTAAAGTTAACAACTTTGCAGTAAAGTCTCCATTTTTTGTGGAACTTACTCTGTTTGACATCTTTACTCAGGTGGATGTGCCTTCATCTTTTGTGGGTCTTGTCTTGGAGAATTGCGAGCTCCCGTTTACGAATCACGGCCATGTTGTTCTCGGTGAACCATCACCGATCTTGTTATATCCCATAAGCAGCTCAGAAGTCCGTTGCTTGGTCGATATACCTGGTCAGAAACTTCCTCCCATTGCAAACGGTGAAATGGCAAAGTATCTGAAAACAGAGGTTGCTCCTCAGGTACCAACCGAGGTGCGTGAAGCGTTTATCTCCGTGGTTGATAAGGGTAACATCAGAACAATGCCAAACCGGAACATGCCAGCTGATCCGGTTCCTACTCCTGGAGCTCTTCTTCTCGGTGATGCATTCAACATGAGACATCCTTTAACCGGCGGTGGCATGACAGTTGCATTGTCGGATATAGTCGTACTCCGTGACCTTCTAAGGCCAGTTCGCAACTTCAACGACAAAGAAGCATTGTCTAAGTATATCGAAGCGTTTTACACACTGAGGAAAGTAAGCAGCTTTAGGATATAGTGAAAGCTTCTCTATGTGTTGGTTGGTTGATTCAAGTTTTCGGCTTTTCTGCAGCCTGTTGCATCCACTATTAATACATTGGCGGGTGCGTTGTACAAAGTCTTTTTAGCATCTTCAGATGAAGCGAGAACTGAAATGCGTGAAGCTTGCTTTGATTATCTTAGTCTTGGAGGTGTTTGCTCGTCTGGTCCTATTGCTTTGCTCTCTGGTTTAAACCCTAGTCCTCTGAGTTTGTTTCTACACTTCTTCGCTGTTGCGATATACGCCGTTGGTCGTTTGATGCTACCGTTTCCTTCGATTAAAAGCTTGGAGCTTGGAGCTAGGATCATCTCGGTAATGTGGTTTCCTTCTTATCTTCTGAAACAGAATTGCTTCTATTTCATCTCAGTAAGTGGTTTTCCTCCCATCTTCTGAAATTGCACAAATATTTTGATCTTTGATGTATGTCTTCTTGCTCAGAGTGCTTCAGGGATCATCTTCCCAATCATTAAAGCAGAGGGAGTTAGGCAAATGTTCTTCCCTCGTACTGTTGCTGCTATATACCGTGCTCCTCCTCCTGCTCAATGATGCATCAGGAGGTTATAGACATGAATGCTATAACTTTGAAATCTAATTATGGTTGTTGCTTAATGGTTATCATGTGGGTGATTAGGTTAGATAGCTCTGGAACAAGTGTAAACATAGCTCCTTTTGGTATATATCATCGAGATCAAAGAGTCTTGTAAGTGCATTAACGGAAAAGATTTGTATATCATATCATCTTCTTGTACTTTTAGCGAAAGGAAAACTTTTAAATCTAATAACGTTGTTTGGTAAATGATTATCATTGCGAGCAAAGAGCCTTGTCATTGCATTAACGGAAACACACCAAAGTAACCACCCGAATCTTTCTAGGATCTTATCAGTCACTCAGGACTTTTATTTTGGTGCACTTTGAAGATTTTTTTTTTTAGTCAAATAACTGTCCATATTTATTCTAAACGTAGACTTTGCCTAAAATACAAAGTTACTTTTCCAGGCACTTTTTGTTGTTGTAGTCGTTTTGTTTCTCTAGGCACTTGGTCGTCTAAACGTTGGACTTTATTTAGTTAAATTATTTTAAATACTAATGCAAATGGATCCAAGTTGGTAAATAAAGCCATCTAATGGGCTTCATGAAAGAAAAAAAATTGGTTCATGGGCCTAGACTGTGGTTACCATGTTAAAATTGTAGCAACGAGTTACAAGATATGGTCAAACTCGTTTGTGAAAGACAAAGACAAACCATTTTTATTACATAATACTTAATTTTAGCATAAAGATTTGTGTAGCCTCACTAGATTGGCTTATTTAAATCTTCCTGTCTCTTATTAAACAAACATTAACGGCTACATCTCTTAGATCCACTTCGTTTCTCAATCTCCAAGCATCGATTCAGAAACCTCTCTTCAATCACTGCGGGAGAGTGTCCACAAACGAGCGGCGGCGCTTTGACCTCTGCAAGAACGGTGATGGCGCAAACGATTGTATTGGGTCAATGTATTCTCGGGACATTTTTAGCTTCTCTCTTCGCGTTTGTGCTTCTCTACGTTTTGCGTCGCAGTAGTAACGTTGAGAAATCAAACCGGAGTAAGAAGAACCGTGGCCTCGTCGTTGCTCAGAACGACGACCTATCAAGGAATCTTGCGACGGAGGATGATTCCGGCATTGATGTTATCATCGTTGGAGCTGGTGTTGCAGGTGCCGCACTTGCTTATACACTCGGCAAGGCAAGTCTCTAAATCAATCTCAGATTTTTGTCGGTTTTTTATTTTGCTTTCTCCAAGTTTCCTTCTATTTCTGGATTGTTTGAAATTTTTTGTTTAAAAAAAAAAAAAAAAAAAAAATATGATTCCGTTTACAGAAATACTCTGAAATGGACCCAAAAAGCTTATATTATAAACCTAGCAAATTAAATTTTAAAATTTCAAAAGTAGCACATATTTTTGTGAAAACACCTTTTTACCTAAAACAATTGCATATAAATTTAAAACTTTATGTGAGTTTCATTTTTTTTTTTCAAATTAAGGTTTAGATTTCTTCCATTAAAAAGGTTTGAATCATTTTTATGTTGAATTCATGCTCGTTTTTGAAAGAAAAATACATTATGAGTATTTATGGAATACAAATTTAAAAATGATTCAATAGATATACTGATTTAATAAATTTCTACTTATACGGTGTTTGGCCTTTGTGTGATTGCAGGAAGGACGAAGAGTTCATGTTGTAGAAAGAGACTTGTCCGAGCAAGATAGAATCGCTGGTGAATTGCTTCAACCTGGAGGTTACCTGAAGTTAATCGAACTTGGCCTTGAAGGTAGACCAATGAGCTTAACTATTATATAAACTTTGATCGAATTTTATAGTAGTTATGTTAATAGTTAAGCTGTGTGATATATCTTTTGACTGTAGATTGTGTGAAGGAGATAGATGCTCAACGTGTTCTTGGATATGCTCTCTTTAAAGATGGGAAACAAGCTAAAGTTTCATACCCTTTGGAAACACTTGATTCGGATGTTGCCGGGAGAAGCTTCCACAATGGGAGATTTGTGCATAAACTGCGAGAAAAGGCTACTTCTCATTCAAAGTAATCATTCTTTCTTTGTATATAGCTGCTGGATACAAGATTTTGCTTAGTCTAGTGCTTTGTTTGTGATATAATTAAGGGTAAGGTTAGAGCAAGGAACAGTCACGTCATTGCTTGAAGAACACGGAACAGTTAAAGGTGTTCAATACAGAACAAAAGAGGGTAATGAGCTTGTTAGATTATACGCTCCTCTCACAATTGTATGTGATGGTTGCTTCTCCAACTTGCGTCGCTCTCTTTGCAAACCTAAGGTGGTCCCTAAAGTTAATTACTTTGCAGTAAACCCTCCAATTTTGTTTTGTTTCGTGGAACTTACTTAGTTTGACATGTACCTACTCAGGTGGATGTGCCTTCATCTTTTGTGGGTCTTGTCTTGGAGAATTGCGAGCTCCCATTTGCGAATCATGGCCATGTTGTGCTCGGTGACCCATCACCGATCTTGTTATATCCCATAAGCAGCTCAGAAGTCCGTTGCTTAGTCGACATACCTGGTCAAAAACTTCCTCCCATTGCAAACGGTGAATGGCAAAGTATCTGAAAACACGTGTTGCACCTCAAGTACCAAACGAGGTGCGTGAAGCGTTTATCTCCGCGGTTGATAAGGGTAATATCAGAACAATGCCTAACGGGAGCATGCCAGCTGATCCGGTTCTCACTCCTGGAGCTCTTCTTCTCGGTGATGCATTCAACATGAGACATCCTTTAACCGGTGGTGGCATGACCGTGGCAATGTCAGATATAGTCGTACTCCGTGATCTTCTAAGGCCGATTCGCAACCTTAATGACAAAGAAGCATTGTCTAAATATTTGGAAGCCTTTTACACACTTCGGAAAGTAAGCAGCGTTAAAGATAAAGTGAAAAGCTTCTATGTGTTTGGATTTTTTTAACAATGTGGCTTTCTTTTGTGCAGCCTGTAGCATCCACCATTAATACATTGGCGGATGTGTTGTACAAAGTCTTTTTAGCATCTTCAGATGAAGCGAAAGCTGAAATGCGTGAAGCATGCTTCGACTATCTTAGTCTTGGAGGTGTTTGGTCATCTGGTGCGATTGCATTGCTCTCTGGTTTAAACCCTAGTCCTCTGAGTTTGTTTCTCCACTTCGTTTCTGTTGCGATCTACGCTGTTGGTCGTA